AATGCACTGTGCAAATGTGATTCTCTTCAAGTTAGGGAACATGAGTTTGAACTAGGAGCAAATAAATTTTGAATACAGTAATGATAGATAGTGACTAGTAGTGCAATCCAGGATGCGCAACTTCATCCTGTTTGAGACTCATCAGCTGGATGTGTCTGCCTCCCAGTGAGTAATGTTGTTCCCATGGGGATTCGAACTCGGGACGGATCGCTTAATTCATTCAAAGCGTTATCCACTAGTCCACCGAGTCACGATAGCTACTTCTTGTGGGATGGGTATAGTTTCATTATGAATGCTTGTATTATACCGTCGTTGATTGGACCGAAATGATCGGTCTGTATTGACATATGGACTCTTGTATGGATCACATGAGATATAACCTGTTTTATTCATAGTCATGATAGATAGTGGCTAACAGTGGAATTCAGAATGGGCGCTTCGTCCTATTTGTGACTCGTCAATCTGGTCCAATCAACGACGGTATAATACAAGCATTCATAATGAAACTATACCCATCCCACAAGAAGTAGCTATCGTGACTCGGTGGACTAGTGGATAACGCTTTGAATGAATTAAGCGATCCGTCCCGAGTTCGAATCCCCATGGGAACAACATTACTCACTGGGAGGCAGACACATCCAGCTGATGAGTCTCAAACAGGATGAAGTTGCGCATCCTGGATTGCACTACTAGCCACTATCCATCATTACTATAGAGAATTAAAACACTGGCAATATTGAAGCATTCGCACAGGAGCCCGTATGCCAATAGAAACCAATCAATTCGTTCAGTCATCGACGGTATAATACAAGCAATAATACTAAATCTTGAATTCAACCTCTTAAAAACCTTGAGATCGTATTACAGACTCGTGGAAGGCGTACATGAAATCAGAGTCAAAAAAAGTAATAGTGTCTCCTATATCATGTTACTTGATCGATTTCGTTCATTTTTACTCGGTAGATCGATTAGTGAATTGTACTGGTTTATCACGACACATCATTTCTTATTTGTACACTATTCGTGCTACAACTCTAACTTACGCATAAATTTAGTAATGAGTCGATCTTGCTTCGAAATAAAATCTTCAATTCAAATTTAATGTTAAACTTCCAATACCAAGTAGTTCTTGTTTGATATGCTCACTTTATCAGTTTACGTTTCCAACATCCCAGTAATGATGTTGAAGATGAGAAAGTTTGTTTCTGAAATCTATTTGTAAACGCCTGAAAGAATTTACTTCGAAATTGAATTCCTACTACTAAATCTCACACGTAGTAGGAATTCAATTTCGAAGTAAATTCTTTCAGGCGTTTACAAATAGATTTCAGAAACAAACTTTCTCATCTTCAACATCATTACTAAATCTCACTAAATCTCACACGTAACCTCGCCTGGTTAACTAGTTTACTAGTTACTAGCCGGTCCTAAGCCCGGGTAAAGAGGGAAGGTTGGGCATAGGGCTAGCAACCCTACCCCGTAAAACAAATCTAACCGCTAAAGAAACTTCAAAGCACAAACAAAATATAAAAAATGAAAACAAACTTATTCCCCGCTGGAATCGGAGAGGCGAAATGACGCCAGTTGGTGAAAGCCTTCGGGAAGCCAATTGGCCGATGTGTCTTCTCTCGATGAAAGCGAAAGTAAACGTGGGGACATGGAATGTCCGCACGATGTTTGAACCCAGTAAGGCAGCCCAGATTGCAAAGGAGATGAGAAGGTATAACATCGAAGTGCTTGGGATTTGCGAAAGCAGATGGAATGGGAGTGGACTCTCCAAACTGTCAACTGGAGAATCAATAATCTACTCCGGTCACCCAGACGCCAACCACGAGCACACTGAGTTATGGAGTGGCTATCATGATGTCCTCAAGAGCATCGAAGGCTCTCATGCAGTGGGAACCAATCTCCTCCAGGATCATGACAGCAAGATTCAACTCAAAAGGAAGAAAGGTCACAATCATACAATGTTATGCACCTACAAATAATGCAGAGCAAGAGAAAAAGGAGGAATTCTACAGACAACTTCAATCAACACTGGACAAGACGTCAGTTGGCGATATCAAAATTCTAATGGGCGACATGAATGCCAAACTGGGAGGGGACAACACGGGAAGAGAACTAACCATGGGTCGAGAGGCGCTAGGTGAAATGAATGAGAATGGAGAATTGTTTGCAGAATTCTGTGCATTCAACGATTTGGTGATTGGAGGCAGTGTGTTCAGGCACAAGGATATCCACAAAGCGACATGGATTTCACCAGATGGACACACAAAAAACCAAATCGACTTTATCTCAATCTCAAGAAAATGGAGACGCAGTCTACTTAACACAAGGTCAAGAAGAGGAGCAGATGTAGGTTCAGACCACTATCTAGTGCAAGGAACCTTCGAAATCAAGTTAAAAGCCTTCAAGGAAGCTGGTGATAGACCTCAATTCAAGTACAACACTCGGAAACTGAAGGATGAAACTACAAAGGAGATCTTCAAAGCAGCCATCAAGACAAAATGGGAGACGTCGAGGGACATCCCTGAAGAAACCTGTGTGGAAGAACACTGGAAGTCTTTGAAAGCTATGTGGAAAGAAACCTGCACAACAGTATTAGGAAGGAAGAAGAAAGAAGACAAGGAATGGATCTCGACGGATACCTGGAAGCTGATAGAGGAGAGGAGGATGGTGAAGCAGAAGATAAACCAGTGCAAGGATGCTCAACGACAAGAGGAACTGAGCACAATGTATAAAACACTGGATAAAGAAGTGAAGAAGAGTGCACGCAAAGACAAAGGACACTTCTACGAAACACTGGCAAGTGAAGCAGAACAGGCTGCAGGTAAGAGAGACCTGACGACATTGTATCAAATAACCAGGTTGCTATCAGGGAAGAGACCAACACAGATGAAACCAATAAAAGATGAAGAAGGAAATTTAATTACAAAAGAAGAGAAACAGAGGAAACGATGGGCCGACCACTTCAAGAAGCTCTTGAATCGACCACCACCTGCACTTCGTCCAGAAATACCACCTGCAGCCGCTGAATTACAAGTGAACATAAATCCCCCAACGAAAATGGAAGTCCTGAACGCCATAAAGCTACTGAAATGCGGGAAAGCAGCAGGACCAGATGGAATACCGCCAGAAGCACTGAGAACAGATGCAGAGACAACAGCGGACATGCTCACACCACTATTGCAGAAGGTGTGGAGGGAAGAGAAGGTACCTGACGATTGGAAGAAGGGTTACCTTGTCAAACTGCCGAAGAAGGGAGACCTCAGTGCTTGCAAGAACTGGCGCGGAATCACTCTCCTATCCACCCCAAGTAAAATATTAAGCCGCATCATCCTGGAGAGGCTTAAAGACGCACTGGATTCAAAACTGCGACCGGAACAGGCAGGCTTCAGGAAGTACAAATCATGTGCTGACCAAATTGCAACGCTTCGTATCATCATAGAACAGAGCGTAGAATGGCAATCAGCTCTATACCTCAACTTCATCGACTTTGAGAAGGCCTTTGACAGCGTCGACCGAGAAGTAATTTGGAAACTGCTTCAATACTACGGAGTACCGCAAACCTTTATCCGCCTCATTCAACAACTATATGAAGATGCCACATGCCAAGTAATTCACAATGGGAAGCTCAGTGATGCCTTTTGAAGTGAAGACAGGAGTGAAACAAGGTTGCCTACTATCCCCCATGATATTCCTTATTGTGGTGGACGGGATCATGCAGCAAACAGTAGGCAGCGAGAAGAGGGGGATACACTGGACGACGGAAAAGAACCTAGAAGACTTGGATTTCGCCGATGACTTATGCCTAATGTCACATAAACTTGAAGATCTGCAGGCAAAAACTAACAAGTTGACAGAAGAGGCAGCGAAGACGGGACTTCAGGTGAATATAGAGAAGACAGAAGTGATGAAGATACCGCACCACCACCATCAACAACAACAACAACAACAAACTCCAATCACCGTCAACGGGAGAAACTTGAAGGAAGTAACCTCCTTCACTTATCTAGGAAGCACTGTTTCAACTACAGGCGGGACGGACGAGGACGTCAAAGTCAGAATCGGAAAAGCAAGACAGGCGTTCATTAGCCTGAAACCAGTGTGGAGATCTTCTGCACTCAGCATGCGGAACAAGATACGGATTTTCAACACCAACGTCAAGTCAGTGCTCTTGTATGGCTCAGAGACTTGGCGCGTCACGAAAGGCATTTCCAATAAACTACAGACATTCATCAACAACTGCTTACGCTCGCTGCTGAAGATCAGATGGCCAGAATAATGAGAATAAGCAACAAGGAACTCTGGGAACGAACCAACCAAGAACCTATCACGCAACAAATATGCAGGAAGAAGTGGAGATGGATTGGCCATGCACTGAGAAGGCCGACTGAGGACATCACGCGTCAGGCCAGTTGCTCGAGTGGAATCCCCATGGGAAGCGACGAGTTGGACGTCCGAGGGTGACATGGAGGAGGTCATGCGAGGAGGAAATGAGAGCTTCTGGGCTGTCGTGGAACCAGGTTCAAAAGATCTCAGAGAACAGAGGTCACTGGAGGCGTGCTACTGAAGCCCTATGTTCCACTAGGAACCCAAGGGACTAATAATAATAATAAAAATCTCACACGTAAACTGCGATAGAGCAGACATGTTGACTGTTCCTTCTAAAAATGAATAAAACTGGTGAAGTGTAATTATAACATTTGGATGATAAACCGAGATGTCAGTATTCGAAATATGTCCGACATTCTCATTGTTTTCCGATGATGTAAACAGGTAGAACTTATATCTTGATTTACTACACCACAATACTTTAAAGGGAAATCTGTAATCAAATAGATTTACCGCCTAATCTGAAGTCGAAATTTCATTGGTTATTTTTACTCACTACTATGATAGACGCCAATAATACACACTGTAAACTATATGCTGATTGGTTAAACCTCCAAGGTTAACATCACGTCCACACACACGCACATACATATATCACAAACATGCATAATTTATGCTACGAAAACAAGCTTAAATAATATGCATCAATCAACCAGGAAAGAAGCAACAGTAAATGGTGATTCTTGTTGTCTCACTTCATTCATAAAGAAAAGAAATAGATTCTATCGATTTTGTACAGCACAGACATGGATCAATTAAAAATGTGGCCACCATATTAATGATGATTTTCATTCAGCAAATTATTGCTACATGTTAAAAATGTATGAAAAGTTAACTGTATGAAGTCAGCTGTACATGCAATAGTGAAGTATTATGGTCATGCGTTACATTTGGTTAATATGGTGTATTTTAACCTGGACAGCAGCTATTCTATGCATAACCGGGTTTTTACTACCCTATTGGTTAGATGGTAGAATCTATTCAAATGAAGAGATTATCTTGGAACAAAAACATTCTCTTAGATATTCAGACTATTCAGATTTACCTAGTACATTGAATTTATTTCGTCGGTGTGTTTATCCAGTCTACACAGGTCTGGTAACAGATATTTTATTAGAAGATCCAGCAAAAGCTGCAATCTTTTTAAACCAACCGCCAACTCATAGATTAGATTTAAAACAAGCATCCATTGAATCTTCACTCGTTCAAATACAAACAAATTGTGGTTATTATCAATTTTTTGATATTCCTCATGCAGCCTGGAGATTTAGCCTGATTCTATTGGGAATTTCCTGTTGTTTTTTATTCTTTCTGGCATTCTTCTTATCATTTACCGGGTGTTATTTGAATTTTTTATGGCAATTTAATGTACATCGTGTATGTCAAACAGGTCTACTGATTTCTGGTAAGTCTAGTTATCAATTTTTTTAAATAATTAATATACCTGTCTGATATAGTTCATAGTTTATAAGTCACTTTGAATAATAGAAAAAATTGATGGACAGCAGCTAGCAATGGAATCCAGCACATGCGAATTGTCCTACTTGGGACTCATCAGGTGGATGTACCTGCCACCTACCAAGACTCGAGCCCAGGACCGATCGCTTGGGATGTCACAGCGTGATCCACTAGGCTACTGAGTCACAAATACGACTCCTGGTCCGATGGATATGGTTTTAATGGCACTGTTTGTAATTTCCCGTCGTTGATTAAACCAAATTGACCGGACTCTATCGACAGATAGGCTCGTGTGTGGGTGTTTTACTTTATGTTGAATAGTAATTATTGACAGTGGCTAGCAAACTGACAATATAGACAAAATCAAGACATCAGCACAGGAACGCGTATGCCAATAGAGGTCGAACGATTTGATCCAGTTAAACAACGGAGACTTACAAGCATATCAACAGACAGTAATAACTAATGCCTGCCTTCTGCACTCAGCATAAAGCGTGAACAACATCCGGATTTTCAACACCAATTACGTCAAGTCAGTGCTCCTGTATGCTTCACTAACTTGGCGCATCATCTAACGCATTTCCAACAAACTACAGACATTCATCAACAACTGCCACCTACGCTCACTCATTACTGAAGATCAGATGACCAGAATAATAAGAATAAGCAACAAGGAACTCTGACTGGGAAATGAACCAACCAACAACCTATCGCTGAACAAATATGCAGAAGGAGGTGGAGATGGATTGGGCATACACTGAGGAGACGGATTCCGGACATCACGTGCCAGGCCCTTGAGTGGAACCCAAATGGGAAACGATGAGTTTGGTGTGGGAGGCGAGGGTGACATGGAGGAGATCGTGCGAGGAGGAAATGAGAGCTTGTGGGTTGTCGTGGAGCCAGGCTGAAAAGATTGAAGAGAGGAGAGTGCGATGGCGATGTGCTACTGAAGCCTTATATTCCACTAGAAACCCAAGGGACAAATAATAATAATAATAATGCCTGTTGCACAAGACGTGACTATCATGCCTCAGTGGTTTAGTAGGTAACGCCTTGGTGTTTGAAGCGTTGCGTACGAGGTTCGAGTCTCAGTGAGAACCTCTCTTACTGGGATGCAGGTCCATCCAACTGACGAGCCTCAAATAGGACGAGGCCCTCATCCTGGGTTCCTCTGTTAGCCGCAACCAAGTAGAGCAGCATAGAGATTTGATTTTAGATCATGCTATAGATTAGGACCAAAATTCTACTGCCGAACTGTTAGACAGTTAAGTAGCTTAACTATGGACTATATAAAAAATGAAAAGAAAAATGACATTTGATACAACTGCTGAGATAACCTTTGTTAGCTGACTCGTTAAGGCAGTGGTTGATTTGACAGATGCACAAAATATCTGCTGATTGAAGTAAGACGGAAATCTGATTAACAGTTGACACATATACCTACAGATCTCGGGTGATAGAGCGGTTGCCTCAGCAAGTTATGCTGTGGCTTTCATTTACTTCCGTCCTCACTTAACATACCACTACAAAACACTTTGATACTAACTCAGCCACAAATTCAATTTTTGTTTTGTAGTAGATAAAAATAGTATTTTGAACAGTTAAACAGAACTCTGCATATCCTAAGATGATGTGTTGACGATGCTATAGCTGATAGGCTTTCGCTCTTTTCATTTGTTAGCCACTTTGAACAGCTTTCCAGACGAAGTTTTTAATTGTCACACTAGAAATGGGATTGAAATAGGCTTAACAACCATATGGACATTATTGGAGCCAGCAGTGCACCTCACCCATTGTACGATGGCTAATGACCTGGACGCCCAGATCTATGTATTCGAAGCAGTGTTGGAACTTGTGACGCACTGATTGAAAATCAAGTGCTTGGAAAAATGAATGACAACCTCCCCCCCACACTAGGTTCCACGTTTTTCTTCTGTATTTCCTACTACTATATGCAAACTTTACAGATAATGTTTACGGTATTTGGGTCGAATATTTGCTCTGTTTAGGCATTTTGCTAAATAAAGTAAAAAAAACATACGTCTTGATTAGATTCAAGCGAACACATCAGCTACACTATTTGACGAACTTCATATTGCTAACAACAAATAACAGTTTCTGAGATAACATTTCTTCTACGTTAAACAGTACTGAAGATGATATCTAGTCCGATGTCTATGGCTCTGTCCTAGAAAGATGTAATCTAGGAGAGCTACGAAAATACCAAACCATTGAGAAACCCAGATGTGCAAATATTTGTCACCATACTGCAACAAACCAACAAATTGTACAATCAGTGTAGACATCTCTCTCCTTGGACTGTAGTATTCAACAGCCTCTAATTAAGATGTCAAGTCGATGTCTCATCCAAAAATAATCTGTTCAGTGAAAAAACTAACTTTCATTAAACGCGTTACATAGCACTGATCCTGTTGCCAAGACCGCATATTGATCAGTGTTTTTGTGTGTACCTCTGTGTCTTTGTTGTGTCTGTCTATCAATGAACTAACTGAATAAGGTGTTATAGTATGCTTCATTATATAGATCTTATTACATCGAAATTGCAGCAGGGTAGTTTATTTCCGAAGTTTAGGTGTTATCAAGTAAATTACAAATAGACGCATACCCACATCATAAGAAAGTCGCACATACATGTACACACACAATCAGATTTCCTGGTTAACAGCATTACCAAAACCAGACGAGAGGGTGTACCAGCGCGCACCTGATTTTCTTTAGGTTTGACTAGACACACACCCATGTAATAGCTGTAACAGACGGAGAATAATATCCTATCCATACTCGTTTTTTAATAGTGTGAAGATTCTTTTAACAACAATATTTGCAGAGAACAAGATTATCATCTAATCAAAATGTTTATTAACCATTTCTGTCAAGAATTTACCTGACCGAATTGTATCGACTATACAATATGATATGGAGACATGTACTAAATCAATGATTACCACATTTTCTCATCAATCAACACCGTTTCATCTATAAACAAACACGCATATACACCCACATGCATGTTGTAACATTTATCGATCGGGAATTAGTAAATGATTACGTCAACCTACTGTCTACAGATATTCTGGCTCACTAGGGGTTTCTGATGGTCAACTGTGGTACATTCATTGATCACTGGGAAGCAACCAATCTCATGTTGTCTAGTCCTGGATGCTGATCGGATTTTATCGATCATTTTATAATGTGGCCACCAAGCTAGGAGGCTCAGCATTGTGGTGCACTTTGATGAATGTTAGTCGGTTGGTCGTAATCGGCAGAAAGCCCTGAATGAGATACCCTGTACCCCTCCATCTAAGAAACAAATACTTAGTTGCTGGTCAATTTGTGCTGAAATCTTCCCGGAGATCAATGCACCAATTGGTAACAATTAATTGTTACCTCTTTACGAATACTGTTGGTGCATTCAGATATAGATCGACTAGTAACAGTATTGGAGATTGTCAGACTAGGTATTTGAAAACTAACATATTTAGACCACATAATGCTATTTGCTTGGGTACGAAAACTATGTGAACATACTACTGACTAACATGAATAGTTGCAGCCCACTTATACCGACCGGCAGTGACTTGAAAAATTCATCCCACCAGACTAAATCATTCCAGACATACCTCTGTATATTACTAGTAATAATAACATGCTTGTGATCATATTAAGAATTTAATAGTTGAACAAATTAAAGTATTCGACCATTTAAAACAAACTGTCGTTTAATACTCAATAAAATGTTTAAATGGTACTTCTACATCCAAATTCTTATCGGCAGACTTATGGTCTAACCCTAGCTGAAAATGCATCACTTCGATCAGAAGCGTTCTGAAATACTTGCTTGGAAACATTCAAATCATTGGAATGGGGTTTAGAAGTACTATTCATCATGGACTGATGTCAGTTGGGGAACCATTGAAGATCTGGGAGCATTGGACAGCTGTTTCGCCCTAGTATGTGACTCCTCAGCAGTACGCATACGTGACCCGGTTAGGGATCGAACTCAGGACCTTTAGGTTTCACGGTGAACGCGTTAACCATTCAGCCCAAGGTCTTCAGTTAGCATCCACTTCACTTCCGACTGGTTGACCCCACATGTCACGGCTTCTCGTTAGAGCTTCCTGATATCCATCTGGAAGCAAGTCACTAATGAGCACTATACAGTAATGTATTTTTGAGATGAAACCGACCCAATGGCTGAATGGTTAACGCGTTCACCGTGAAACCTGAAGGTCCTGAGTTCGATCCCTAGCTGGGTAGCGGGTGCGTACTGCTGAGAAGTCCCATACTAGGACGAAACAGCTGTCCAGTGCTCCCAGATTTCCAGTGGTTCCCCAACTGATGTCAGTCCACGATGAATGCTACTTTTGAATTAAAAAATACCCATTCATCTCAAGTATGAGGTTCGTTTGTTTGTGTGTGCTTGCGTGCGTGCGTGCGTTCGTGTCTTGTTCATTGAAGTAATACTAGCTTAAGCACTACTCAAGACAATGGTAATCTAAAATGCATTGGATGGATCAATTCATTCCAGTCTACTGTTTTGTTTGTACTAACACTATGAGTCACCTAACATTAACTGACATTTAGTGGTAAATCATTCACATATTTCCTTAAAAGGTAACAAGAGAAAAATCAATACTTTTTGTACTTTTGTAGTTCAATCTGGTTATCAAAACAGGTTGGATAAACTCCGACCGTATATTTCACCAATCTGTGGCTGTTTCACATCTGAAAACAGTGGTGAAGATGGAAAAGTACTAAAAACATTGACCTTTAACATAAGGACAATAAAGCGAAATATAACAGACAACTCATCCTGCTTAAGGTTTCGTACTTGTTAGCCATAATCGTCAATATGAATCTATAATTTTTCAGGAAACTAGTCCTCTCTCAGAGATTTGAACTCAGATTGTTGAATTTATCACTGGG